ACACACACACACACACACACACACACACACACACACACACACACACACACACACACACACGTTCACAGTGGATGGAAAAAAAGAGGCGCGTCGATGGTACGAGGTGAATGCGTGAAGAAGTTAATTGGACAGATGAGTGGCTGCGTTTACATAGGCGCAGGCCTTCCACTTCAACCCTTCAGGATGGTAGAGGAATACGACGATGACATTGATGGGCAAGGCAAGTACTTGGAAGATCTTGAAGTAGTAGGCACACAACAGTTCTCACGTAAATTGTTGGTGGATGCCGACACCACATCGTTGAAATCACTACTCAGTGCTACTTATTCACTCCATCGATCGCTCAGGCGCATCTGAATATCCACTTGACTTCCGCTTTTGGCCCCATCTTATTCTGGGGAGCCTTCGACGTGCCAAACTAGGGGTTTCAACTATTACTCTCGGGGACTTTCAAAAACATGTCGGGTAAAATCGAAACGAATCTTATGGCCTATTTGTGTTGTCGGTAGGCGTCGTTAAGAAGGTAAAATGCCAACGAGAGTTGGGACAATAGATGGGGTTCTGGAATATTTTCGGAGTAGAGTCGTCGACTAAACGGTTGCACTCTGCGGCAGCTGCTTCTGCTGATACCAGTCGGAGAGCCAGTCACGCAATCAATGCACATCGTCAAACGCACAGCCTGAAAACGCTTGGTGTTGCGTGTCACCTTGGAAACACTGTCAAACAGCCCACACAAAAAGGTCGGCGTGGACTAACCAATGAGGTGGTAGCCTCGGCCCACATCGAAGACACAGTCCTCAACCACGCAGGAGGTTGGCTCGACCTTGGCGTGGTCGACCAGGGGCTCGTTGGCGGCACTCGGAGGGGCCGCGGCGCGGTTGCACACCACCCCGTAGGCCGGTGCGTCGCCCCCGTAGAGGTTTCCGAAGGTCACGCACGCGTTGAGAATGTGGTACAGCGGGATCTCTGAAAGACGTATTGATAGCACCATTAAAGAGAAAACTACTTGAGCTAATGTCCTGTTTACCGTAGTGTCCATAAGACCACCCGATTTGCACTTACCGACACGCATAGGGAAGCCAGGGGGCAGCTTCTTGGTGAGAAATTCCTCCAGTTTGTGGAAGAAGGGATTGTATTCGGCCATCAACTCCACGATTGGCAGAACCTGGTCCTTCAGAGACAGCGGATAGTCCTCGCACAGCCAGAGGTGGGCTTTGTACGTCTTCAACTTGGCCGTCATCACCTTGGGTCGGCCGATTTCACACTTGGGCTTTGTGGTGGGATCGTGCGAGAAGTAATCCTCGATGGTGATGTTGTTGGGGTTGTAGTTGGCCGCCTCCTAGACCAGAAACACACACCAATAAACGCAAGAGTCAATCGAAGAAAACTGTAGAGTGCCCTACTGTCCTCTTTTCTGGATCGTAACTCATGAATAGTTTTGGTCGTGTTAGGGAAAGAAATGCGTCCGAGGTCTAGCCACTCTCCCAAATAGGGTTAAGCCAAGTTCCAAAATCGATAACGCACGAGTCCCTAGCACTGGTGTTGGATGAATGCGACAGTGTGTGGGTGATCGTAGTGTGTAAATGCCAGCGATAAGCTGTGTTGTAACATGGCCATTTTGACTAAGAAAGACGCGGCGACCAAGTCATTTGAAAGTGCGTGGTCCGGAATTGGTGAATCAAAGCGAAAACCCAGGAATGCAGCGGTTCGCTTCAAAGTTTGTCAGATAAACAACAACAAGATTGGCCGGCTAGAATTATCAGGATCATATGCCCGTAGCAACCATCACCCACTGCCTTGGCAAGTATCTAGTCCACTGAATATCTGCTAGTCCTCTTCACACGTGTCTGACTCACACGCACACACACACACACACACACAACACTTCGTTGTGTCTCCGTCCTCTTCAGAGTGCTGCCTTGGCAACTAATAAACTGCGCGGAAGAAGACGCAAAGGCCTATTCCTCGTTGAAACGCCACTGAACTCTAACGTGGTCCATGCCTGCTCATCGTGGAAAAACCATTCATCTAGCTGACACGCGATTGGTTCAATTGAGGGCCAGAAGCGTCCGGTGATTAGTGCAGCCGTTGGATTAACAATACTCCCACAGGTCACGCCAAGGCAAGTAGTAATGAGCTCACGTTTGTGATTTGGACGTGACGCGACTTCTCGAATTTTTGACCGCCAAGCAGGTTTGTGAGGGGGTTGTTGTTGTTGACGGAGGAGGTCTCGGTGCTGGTGCCGCGCGACTCCTGAATGTCCCGAAGGTTCTCCTCCGTGAGGTGCTCTGTTCGGCGCAGCGTCACAATCTGAACGTTGGCCGCGCTGCAGACCTGGAGAGAGAAGGAGAGAGAGGGGTTAGAAATGGCACAGGCGTGATTTTGGTGAGGCTTACGGCACATGTCTAGTCGACGATTAGACATGCGGGCGAAACATCGATTCGATACGTCAGTCATTCCACCAATAAGAGGTAGCGTAGCCCGAGGTTCACGCTTGCAATTAATGCCTGCTCACAAACCAATAACGATTAAAGTGAAAAGGGAATACAGTGTATTTTGAAGGCGGAGAAGTGAGCTGCTCCACAACCTACAACTGTGGTCCCACGCACAAAACACAAGCTAACAGTGACACACAAACTGAAATTGAAGGGTTTGTTGGTCTGGAGAGAACAAGTGTGGTTCAGGAGGAGGCAAGCTTAGCATACCTTTGGTAGGGGCTAGCTATTCGCTAAACACGAACTTGAAAGGACAAAAATCCACACGTCCAGCTAACACTGATCGATTCAAATCCAATTCTGCCACGAAACTCCCAACCAGTTATGCAACTAATTAACAACAGCGGCCAATTAAAAAAGTGGCTGGGTTATTCTCATCAAACCAGCCTACATGCACATCATCGCATATTTATCACGTAGAATTCTGCTCGCTCGCACCTATACAGGTAGGCTAGGTTATCCACGTCTTGATTATAACGTTGTGTATCATTTACATCCATATTTGTGCCGACTGCTTCAAATGCTCGACTAGATGAGTGCAAGGGAAGCGAGAGAGTAATCGAATGCCTTGAAGTGAAAATGAAAGAAGCTGCAGGAGAGGAATTTCAGTTTGACAGACGGAGCGCTACGCTAGATTCCGAAGGTCTGGAAACAGTAGTCACTGAAACTCCCGCGACAATCTCGAGGGAACATGCAGGAAACACAATATTTGCACACCAATTGAGATGAATCGAAAGATTTTCGGTGTTTGGAAAGTGGGTCCCACAAAAATTGTCTCCAGAGCAATGACGATGAAAAGTGGATCCTATACCGACTGGCATCTTGGATCAGTCGAGAAAGAATACAAGTTCAACAAGTAAGAGGAGAACGTCATCCCAAAACGATCGCATTGAGTGTACGGGGTGATGTTGGGAAGGCAATCCATTAGATAGGACACACAAACTCACTTAAAATGCTGCCTTCCAAACTCGATCCTCATTGGTCAACGGGAAGGGTGTTGTCTTTCGCTGCGACAAATAGCCATGCCTACGCACAACTCGACACGCCAATAACCTCTTGGAAGGGATTGGCTGGAAAACAATGTCTCACCATTCACATGCTTCTGACCTTGCAGCTTCTGATTATCATTTGTTTCGGGGACTATCAAACTCGATCCTGATTGGTCAACAGCACTATGGTAATGCCCAAGCCTTCGCACAACTCGACACGCAAATAACCTCTTGGAAGGGATTAGCTGGAAAATAATGTCTCACCATTCACATGCTTCTGACCTTGCAGCTTCTGAATATCATTTGTTTCGGGGACTAGCAAACTCGTTCCTGATTGGTCAACAGCAAGGGCGTTCCCCTTCACTGTGGTAGTGCCCATGCCTTCGCCCAACTCGACACACCAATAACCTCCTGGAAAGGATTGGCTGACTACAGGATGTTCCTGTGTTGGTGTCAAGACGGGAAACGGAAAATGAGCTAGACTCAGCACAAGTACGGCATTTACGGACTTATAAACAGGCGAGAATAGATTCTAGGAATTAACTAAGGTTATGCCCTCGAACATCTTCCTTACTTCTGCGCCAAGCTGACATCTGTCAAAATAGTGCGCCATTTATAAATGAAGCAAAAAACCACTAGATACGAAGACAAGAGGGGGTTACCTGACAGTCGTGGCCGTTGATGGTCTCCCTGCGGTCAGAGCCCCAGCCGAACATGCCGCTTTTGCTTCTGAAGAGAAAAACAAAGCAAAAACTAGACAAGAAGGAACGTGCGGGATGCGCCAGATCACCTACGGAAAGGTTGCGTTCGCTTCGAGTTGTCGAAAGCGGCAGTATCGGCAGCGCGCACGCACAAAACTCCGGTTGAAGTGGGCAATTAAACAGGAGTGCAAGTAGGATGCGTAAATCCCTGATTAAATCTGCTTGTTAGGACAAACAAATAACATCCACCAGATTAGTCACGAAGGCTAGAAACTGAGCGAATTTCCCAGGGCATCACAACCCAACATTTGGACCACAAAACTTTGCATCCACCTGTCGCGAAAAATCTGGTGCAACGGCGGAAGGACGTGTTGTGAATCGCATTGATTTACACCCGCTAAACCGACACAGGGTCCCCCTTTTCACAGCATGTCATCCTCAACTCCCTCTTCATCCACACGGATAATTATCTTGGATTATTCTCACACATGGGTCTCGATGTTAGCTCATATATGACTCACACATCTGATGTATAAATACACACGCGCAAATGCCACCCACGACACCAACATAGTTGAGTTCTGAAGTAAACGCCTGTGTCCACGTCCTCTCCGGTCTTCTTCTTTATCGCGGGTATCAGGGAAGCGTAATCGGGCCAGAGTTAATTCCGTGGCCCCGGCGTGGATCAAGACCACATACCGGGGCCCACAACAATTGGTAGCAACCCCGACGTGATGATAGGTTCTCCGAATCCCATAGGCGATTGATGTTTTGTACCGTCAATACTCGCCCTCATTCGAAGGATGAATGGCTGTTTGACATAGTCGCCATGTCTGTGTTGGTAAAAGTAGCCGGGCAACACTGTAGTGAACCGTATTGATTCATCTAACTCTGTCTTCCTAATCTTTCCGGGTACGCGCTTAGCATTTGACGTGGCTGACTTGAAGTGGTTCTAGATCACTACCGGAGCCTCAATAAATGCCAACCCTTCAGTTGAACACTGTCAATCTTCTACGACGGAGGAGAAGACGATTCATGGACACAACTGCAATGGGAAAATCAGCCTCCGGGCTGTTCTAAACACATTCCTATCCCGACGGCTAATTGTTCTGCCCCAACCACGACCACCCCTACCGTCACTTGATCTCAATCTCTTTCTCAACTCATACCCGTCTGTCTCGCCCTGCTTCTCCCCTTTCAACCCGATCAACCAGCCTCGATTCTTTCACAGTAACGATCAGTCATCGCACGCTACCATTCTTACAATCAGCTTTCAAAATATCCTGGTAGAAGACGAGATGTTATCGTCGTCAGAGACGCACAATGGCCCCAGTCGCCTCGGTCGTCTTCTGGCGATGAATTTTTCCCCCGATTTATCTGCCTTCCAGATGTCATACTGGCAAAAAGGCCATATCCTCAACATGAACTGACAACTACCATTGGTGTATTCTTGTTGGAAAAAAAGGTTCACCGGTGCTTTTCGCTGTAGTGAAGCGTGTTGGTGCACGTCCGCTGGCGCATCGCCCCCATCGCGTATACGGACACGTCTGACCGGACACCCCTGTGCGCATACCTCCTGCCAACGTCTGCAGCCCATATCACTTGTGCGTCTTCAGCTTCATCAAAACTGTTTTGGTCAACAATCAGCCACGTCTTGGCAAGCACGGCGACAAACACGCCTGTGCCTCCGTCAGCTGTGTAGCCCCTTCTTTATCTACCCCGGGCATCTGTGATGGGAAATCCGTGGTCTCAACTGCATACAACCAACACTAGCGTCACGATTACCGTCTCCTCATGCAACTAATCTCTAACCACTGCATAAATTTATGAACCACCAATGAACTATCATGGGGTTTCCACAGGGCTACAGTATCAAGACTGATCAATTCCACGATGCCACTGTCCACAACGACCTGTGTTGACTTACTTGACAAATTCGATCTTGTCGGTGTCGAGGTAGGTGACGAAGGTGGGCTGGGTGAGTTTTCTCGCGATGAGGTCGTCAGAGGGGGCGTGCAGGAGGGCGTCCGCAGCAGCCCCGCCGGCCCCCGACCCCGATGTGGACAGGAGGGAGCCGATCGAGTGACGGTAGATCGTCCTGTCGCTGTGATTCACCTCGTCCATCACAACGCCCTGATCTGTGGAACAATAACAACAGGCAGGGCATGTTAAGCAAAAGGAATTAATGAAATGGCTGGAGAGTGGACTTGAACAATGGATCTGTAGCTGAGACGGCACTGAACCGTCTCTTGAGGTCATATTCGACTGCTGAAAATGCACCAACAGTCCAAGAGGTTCACATTAGCTCCTGAAGAACATCGAGATGAACTCTGCAAAAAGGAGTATCCAATGACACCAGTATTTCACACACGTGCTTCACAAAAATGCCTCTCAACGCACAATCGAGGTGCGCCAACAGAAGCTGAACTCTGTGATTGTCACGTGACCTCGTGATCACAAGAGGCTGCAACATCGGTTACTTAGATTCCAGCATTAGAGAAAGCTAGGTTTTCTCGATGACTGCACAAAGCCGTAACTTGACTGACTAACGAGGCATTTGATGTAACTACTTTTCAATTCGCGAAAGCCCACGTCAATTCTTAAACCTCTAATATCAAATTTTCGCAAATGGGTAGCTTAATTAGTGAATTTGTAGAATTAATTTAGCTTCAACTACACTGTAACACTTGAGGGGCGATTAATAAATGATGCAGAAGCAGTTTTATCTGACCAATCAAAATGCGCCAAAAGAGGAAAAAAAAGATGACCCACGATACACGGAACTTGTGCTTCGTGCGTGCCACGATTGTGTTTACAACGGAGGCGAATCACTGTCGGCACAAAGTAACCATGTGGCAAACATGCCTCGTACACGTTCGCAGAATATAGTGATTGGGTCACAGGAATGCGCGATTCTCACACAAGTCAAATTTTACCGGTAGGTTGCATTGAGTAGACATGCATTTGTCTCTAGGCAACAGCGAAATCGCAACAGACGGAGACTTACCATTGAAAGTTCTCACTAAACGGTTCCAGCATCAACATTAATTCCAACTCTTTTCGGGAAATTGCGCTGACAATTTACTAAACTGCTGAAGGTGCAGTCTATAGTCAGCAGTACTCCCATTAGAAAATAGATTTAGTGGTTTTCACATATTGATCCACATCTGCACACCATTTTAAATCATGCATTTCACCCACGCACACGTCCTATTGGCTCGTCTGCAACTTTGAGTGTGCCATCGATTTGTTCATTGTGAAGGTCGCGTTAACATGCCTCCTAGAGTGACCCAACCTTCTGGCTTAACATTATCTTGTGCGATTTCTAGCGCATTTCGCGTGTCACGTTGGTTTTAAGCTAATGTTAAAGTCCTGTCCCCCCGATACTCGTCATCAATCCCATGAAAATGATCAGTTCGATACTGACTTCAAGGCGGTCCTACTCACTCAACGATTTCACACAACTTCGTTGATCACCTCCAAACGAAGACTCACTCAACTAACGCTTTATGGCGACATTTTCGTGACACAATTAATAATGGACCGTACTCAGCTGTCACAAGCAATGGACTGGGGGCATGAAAATCTCCAACCAGATGGTCAACAGCCAACAAAAACCCACCACTAACGCCAGGCTTTTTGATCGTCAAACTTCAAATAACTTGAAAAAAAAGTTCCCAACTGGAGGCGTAATTCCAAAGGCTCAATTTTTAAACGTGCATAACATGGCATAACGAAGATTTGTATTTTCAGGTTTCATTATGACTAATAGCCTTGCTCATGAATGTGGTTTAAGGTCTAGTTGAATCACGTGTTAACATAACCATCAGTTAATAATGTGACCATAAAAGAAGTACACAATTTTATCATTTATGAAAGTCGAAAACGAAATTTTGTAGCCACCTAATGGCGATAAATCGATAGCACACTCAAAGTTGCAGAAGAGCCAATAGGACGTGGGCGCGGGTGAAATGTATTATTTGAAATGGTGTGCAGATGTGGATCAATATGTGAAAACCACTAAACTTATTTTTCAATGGGAGTCCTGTTGACTATAGACTGAGCCTTCAGCAGTTTGGCAAATTGTCAGCATAATTTCCCGAAAAGAGTTTGAGTTAGCAAAATACTACCAGAGCACATAATTCGACCTTGAGTTGCGTCCTAGAGAAAGATTCTCATTGGGCCATTCTATTACGTTTTAAAGCATAAGATTGTAAACAAATGGACGAAGTCAATTCTTGAACCAGTGGCAATTCGTATTGCGCGAAAAATCTTGCCTTTGCAACGACGGCAGTGGATACCTACGTCGTATAAGTCAAGGTAGAGTTGTGGTGAATTGTTTTGCTGATTTGGCTCGAAAATTTTCGGGCGTTTACCGTTTCACGGCCAACTCCCTCTGGGGATGTGGCGGGGATGTTTGCAGTGGATGGCAGCGATCGGGCGTCAATGGAGCCTGGTTATTGACCTGATGGTGTCGATGACTCATCTCTTTTTCATTGGTTACTGTCGTCAGCCCCCTGTCATACGCTCACCAATCCTCACACAAAGCCACATTTGGGTGGCATGACCCTATCTTCCCTGTCTCCTCTGGTTATTGGCTAGAGGCTTGTTAGGTAGTGCTTCGCAAGCCATTCATGTTGGCCCGCGATTCGTCGAGGATTGCGTGAGCACAAACATAATTATCGACTGCGTCTCCTGCCGATTCTGACAACTGAACCCATGTGGCATCTTCGACTAACTAAAAATGATCGTTTGTGAAGCCACAACATAGGCTAGCCCGAGTGGCATTAGCTGTTTATCCGGGTAATACAATCTAAATCATAATGCGATTCCTTCAGTTCTACACGCGCTGGTTTCCAGTCTTCCATGTAGGCGAAAACACCCACGTCGACACGAGGTCGCAAGCCAATCGAGGGACACAGTTAGCACGTGATTGGCTAGTTACTGGTTGTGGTTGCCAAGCAAGTACAGGAGGCATCTCTGGCTAACCTGTTATGCGGAAGATGTAGGACATGTTCCCGCGAACCCACGAAGAAGTGCCGTTGAAGCCGATGAGACTCGCGTCAATGCGCACGTTGGGACCCTGCTTCCAGACGCGGCAAATGTCGCTCGGACACATCCTCGAAACCAGAGGCACTGAATGAACAAGAGAGAAAAAGCAACGTTAAAAAAATTACAACAGTTCAAGGAGTTGACAGGTTCATCGATGTTTCTAGGCATATTTGGCATCGCATGGTCGATGTGTTGGGTTCTGGGGATTATGGAGGTGAATTAGCCGGAGAGTTTGGGTGCTTCATTGTTTTCGAGAATTTTGCACCACGAGTGTGCTGAGGAAAGACGTCGTTTCACGACCTCCAGCGGTTAGGCGAGGCTGGCACCGTTCAGGAATCAAATCAAGCATAAAAAGCAGGCTGCAGCACACTTTTAAAATGGCACTGACCACCCGCCCGCGAAATTAAGCGAGAAAGGAAGAACGACAACAAAGGAAGAGAAGACATTAGCGTGGTTTCGCTTAATGCGTCTTTTCTGCCACACACACACACACAGGGGAAGGGTTTAAGCGAAACTGAGCCATTTGCATAATTGCTGCACCTTCCGAAGTCGGTCCAATTGTTGCCACACACTGTGCGTAGGAGGTGGATGCACGCACGCGGGCGTCTACGTGACCTCGGACGTGGGAGAAATGATCTGTGCTGTAAATAACCACGAAATGCGTGGTATTCACACGGAAGAGGTGGTGTGCCTCGTGCTTCGAAGATCGTGAGAAGTCATGCAACCACCACCAACGTCGCGTATTCACGTGGACAAACGTACCGACGTACAAGGAGTGGAATGAAGTACGCGATGGAGTTGCACGTGGTACCAAAGTTACGCTTGAGTGTCAGCACGATTTGTCAGCCATTTGTGATAGCAGATCCCGCACATTTTCACCCTGGTAACACGATTCTTACCTGCCCCTTAAGGACTAGCTGCCACTAGTTCTGTGGGCTTAATTGGATCTCGATGCCTACTCATGTCGTATTCCACACAGTTCACTTTATATGATGGCTCACGAATACACAAAAAAGACATTTGCGCATGCTTTACCTAAAATTTATCTCATTAGCACGTTTCGTTCAATTTCTGAATCCACGTCATTTCTAAGTCTTCCACTGCGAAACCGCAAGGTCTAATGCACCTCAAATACTCTTTCTAGTGGTCAAGTCACCAGTCGCATTGTACAATTGACCTTTGACCCGACGAGATTCGACGACGCCGGGAACACGTGGCCCCAAAGTGAACAAGCAGGCTCTAATTACGTGACTTCTCTTGGAATTCTAACGTAGTGATGCTATTTTTGGAAGAGAACAGTCACAGCATGGAGACGAGCACTCCCCGAGACGGTGAACCACCAATTAGGACTGCGTTAGTGGTTACACAACTCCCCCTAATCACGCTACTTCAGTTGGTCACCCATCCACCTCTGCTCATCCCTCGTGATGCTTTAAGTCAAGGTTAACCATGTAGGTGTGGGATAACGATCGTAAGCCACTAAATGTTAGACGGATTTTCCACATTAGGAAACCAATTTTGCCGTTTGTGACCTCCGATTATTCAGGACAGTCTCTATTCATGGTGCCCAGACAACTGTGACATCACAGACGTCGGAAGTCAATTTCAAAATAAACATTACAGGTAAGCTAACAAAATAATCATTTGATGTCTTGATAAGTAACCAGCGCATCTAGCAACAACCAGAACTATTTGACGACGTTTTCGTTTTTTTCCCTAAAATAAATTAATTTAGTACCTCGAAAATACATCTAAATTTATCAGGATATACACTTTTCGGTATTTACAAAAGCCTTGTTAATGCCATGAGGAATTAGTCTATACAAAAACGACTGAGTCCAATAACCCGCCGTCTCCTCTCTCTTCCCTGGTGGTGCAGCGACACACTGCCACCACCTGATTGGCTGACAGCCAAAAAACTCCCGGACCCAATTAAAAATCGGTGCAAAATGGCAGAGCAAGCCAATGGACGTACACCAACTGGTGAACTCCCACTTGATCTCCACGTAGAAGTCGGGGGTGGCCTTGAGTTTGTCGAGGAGGGCTGAGATTATCTTGGCCTGGTTCTTCAGCATGTGCGAATCGCGGTGGGTGAGCACGATCTTCAGCAATTCCGGGTCGCCAGTACTGATCGCCTCCTGAGTGACTGCAATGGCAACAAGAGGTGGAGGGTGTATGTCCAAATTTAGCTGGTCTATTTTTAACCACAACTCGGAATGCAGTGTAGGTGTGTCTGTGTGGGCTTTTTTCGTCCGCTGCGCCAAAAAAAGCCAGATCACTTATAGAACACGGGGAAAGAATTCGCGGTTTATTTTCAGGTAGCCTAATAATAATAATTAAAACACGACTACAAGTTGCATTAGAAAACATCGAAATGTCTTCCCTGAAGCTTTTGAGGGTGTGTTTTGGCTCCAAATCTGTCTTCTCCATAATTTTACTTGACCCCGAGTTGACCTTGGACCATCCTTGGTTGTTCTAATGAATGCGACTGTCAAAACAACAGCGTACTTTCTTCCCTTAACATTGGCGAATTCCAATTGAATTAATGTCAAAATGGCTGTCAACTAATAGGACACATGCTGTAAACGATGATATCATCAGTCATTTATTTTAATATCTCAATTTTAACTACAGTAAACACTTCAGCTGCAGAAATTGGTATTGTCTGTCGGTGCCTAAGGAGGAATTTAACGTTCCTTGACCGTTTATAGCATCATGTTCAATATTCATCGCCTACTTTCGGGTGATTTAGAGGGTTGATGTGATTTCTCAACCAAGCACATCATTTGTGGTAAAAATAGGCATATTTTTTTCACCAAGGGATTCCCTGCCAACCCAGCTGTGCCTCTAGACACCAAATGCCTCCAAGCGATAATGAACACACACCAAAACAGATTAGCAGTCAACGCAGTAATCAAATTTGACAGACTAGTTGGTGCTAGATTGGGAACAAGTCAGTAGCGGTGACAAACGTTTAACCCAATTGTCTAGTCAAGTCAATCAGTCCGGAAAATGCTCAATTTTTTACAAAATTTGCAATTAATGGGCAAAGTTTTAACTTGAGATTGAGAATGGAAGCCGTTGACGGTTACTAAGAAGGACCAAGGAATGCGCATGAACCGAAAAACAGGAAAAAACATTTGCATCGACTCAACAATTTTGCACATATGAGGAAGTTCAAACATTCCTATTAGAACGGCAGTAGATTTAGTTATGTGGCACGCAATCTTCCCGCAAAGCAACCACACTGACATAAAAGACAACATAAAGAGAAGAGGACAACGTCACTCTCGCTAAAAACTCCCTTCGGTAAAAAGCAAAAGTGGAGATTAAAAATGGAAAACGTCAGTTACATCGCGCTCGCGGTACACAATTTGACCGCTTTGCAATAAAACTACATGCCTGGCAATTTACGTATTCATTCAGCACGATGCAAAAACTGAAATATTTGAAGCGCCTCGTTACTTTGATCCTACCAAGTACTCTCGTACTTAGGATGATTTATCCTCTATTTACAGAAACATTTTGGCACATGTTGATGACAACAATTACGCACAAATTTTGTGACATTAATGTAAACAATAAAAATTGATACTTTGTAAAAGTAAATATTCCAAACTATCCACCATGTGTTCATGTGTAGTAAAATGAAAAGAGCCAGGTGATATTTCACGAGTTGGAGAATTTGAACAACTCCAAGTTCAAATTTGTGAAGATTTTACACATTTACATAGAAGGAAACAACTCAGATGAATAGACAGTGGAACATGATTTCAACGGTAATAAATTTGATAATCATTTTGTAATCGCAATCACTGCTAAAATCCATCAAATAATCACGATAGGCCTGACTGTCTATTAAACAACACGGATTAATCAATATCACATATACAATATAACAGCAATTTATGAGAATATCATCTTAAGTTAGGATGTATTGCAAAAGTGTACATAATGACCTACCCGACCAGTAGTCTTTTCGTTTAAAACAAGCGTCTGCATTATGACGCAGCAGCACCCTGGTGGATTCGAGGTGATCCAACGTGACGCTAAGCATCAGTGGAGTCCGGCCATGCGGATCCAATGCCTCTATATCATACTACGCAGAAAAGATTACGAGAAAAATCCGCGTACCTTCTTCTGCAGCAGTAAGTCCTCGAGGCTCAAGTAATCATTTCGCCAAACGTGGTAGTGCAAAGGATACTTTTCAGCTATCTCCTTTTCCAACATCGCAGCAGCTAAACCTGGACGAAACAACAAGCAAAATGACGTTTAAAACCAGGCTTAACAATATTTAACTGTTCAATTTAAAGCATATTTGAGCCAAGAATGACATGCTTCGATTTTTTCGCGCACTCAACAAATGAAGTTTATCACATAGGAATATGGATTTATGCACCAACTGAGCAGTGATATTAATTAGAGAGTGGACATCAGTTGTGTGGCATATGCGGTCTTTCATTTTAATTTCAGGCAAAGAGAAGACTGTCGGCTGACATTTTGGTTGGCATACTATGTGAATCCCATTCTTTAACAGTTGACTGAAAATGCTACAAATTTACTCATTTATCTTTTAAGAAGACATTTAGAACGGTGATATGTTGGTGTTGAAAAACAATGCTGTTGTTAAGGCGTGGAAAACATATAAAATAAACTGGCCACAGTTAACTAGGCACAAGGCGAACGTAAATAAGAACGCCTGTTAGGAACTCGCTTTAGCACGGAATAGTTATATGGATAACCCGTTAATTGTACAATACACCATCTCCCTTGCGTATAGAACATGACAACGTGTCTTTAGTGCAACAGAGTCTGAAAGGCAGTGGATCGCAGAATGAACAAAATTAGCTGTTAATAAGTCATTAGACAACAAAGAAGGTAGATTAAAAAGGATTTAAAATAAAGACGCATGAAATATTTTCGATACAGGTAGACCAAAAAACGGTGTCAACATATGGCATTTGAAAATTATTAAAATGCTCTGAACAAAAGTATGAAAACGCAAAAAGACCGACCTCGTTTCATACATTCACTAAAGCAGAGTAGTTAAGCGAAGGAAAACAATCAGGATACGGCAAATTAAAGAGCATAGGGGAATGATTAGAAAGGACAACTAGAAGGTCACCAATTATTTCCTTTAATATTTGAATCGAAATCAAATTGTGGATTCTAGGTACAAAACATTGTGTGAAATCAAGAGATACCAGTCAAGAGCGAAAATAACACAATGCTCAAAAGTCATGAAGACGAATAGACATGAATAATACAGAAAGTCTAGGATTTGAATTTTTACCAGAAGCAATAAGCAAACCGAGCCAATAAAAAAGTCTAGATATATACAAGACGATGCCAAAGCACTTCCAGTCTCACCAATTGATCATACGACAAGAATCACCTTGAAGAACTGATAAAAATAGGCAACTTAAACAAAACTTTCTTTAAAGATAAATGATTACTTTAGCTATCGTTGAAAGCATTTGCATTATTAAATAATTATTGTATTAACTGAAATAAAGTTAAATATATGATACAGATAAATATTGTTATGGTAACTCCATAATGACGAATGCTGGAATACATGTCCTACCGTTCTTTTCTTTTGGAAAAAATGCAAAATCTCTCAGCCTAAGAGAATTAGTTTAGGTGAATTATGTTTTGAAAAATGCAAGATTGACGTCACCTACGATTTGGATCTCTATTGTTAATAGCATTAATCGATATGAAATTACAAAAACGAGCTTATTTTATTTGCATGGCTTAATTAGGTTAATATCTGCAATGTAAAAATTATGATGGTTTTAAAAATTTGATGATTTGTGATTTACAATTGTATATTCAGATACCAATTTTTTTTGCAACTGCATGAGGATCACCTACTTTAAGAAATAATCCTCGTGAATCATGGTCTAAAAAGTACTGTCTTTTGATCATGTTGAGTGATTAGTCGTTGTTGAATGCATTATGCGTTTAGATGCCTTGGATTTTGTTGGTTTTGTTAAACTGAGACGATCAGAAGCAAGTTACAAGCTTAATGTGATGAAAGTGGACAGTCAATATAGGCCTTTTCTTTGATTCTCTAGCATCTTATTTTAAGGTCTATTGATCAGATGCTTGATATGTGATTATAGTTAGCTGAAGCACTTAATGAGAGAGCGTCTTAATTGTGTCAATTTTCCTGATTACTTATGTGCTTCTTTTTCGGCCAGGTAATAATCCTCCAGGAATAACACAGGGAAGAATATACGTAACCGATGAATTGAAATACATTTAATGCAACATAGTTTTCCAAATTGGACAAAAATCAACCGAGAAATGTTAATGTATTGCATATGTAAAAATATCCTTCTTGTTCCGGGATTTTAATTTGGCGAACCAGGAGAATCATAATGTAATTTATATTGGTTTCTTGACACAAACAGTAGGTTTCTGCATCGGTAATGTGATAGTGTTTGGGAGACGGACAAGTCAGACATTGGCTGTTGTTGCATATGGCTACTGTCTCTATTAACGGCACCGCCAGTGATTATCATTTGTCGTGCTAAGTATCTTACTAAAAAAGCTAAGTAGCATAGTTTTAAAACCAAATCATATTCGACCGTATTAAATCTTATTGAAATTCTCTCAGGGCCTCTTTTATTAACATGCATTGTACGCAACTTAACTCTCGGTTAACAAACTTTTCCTGTAATATACGCATGTGTGCATCAAGCGCTCTTCTGAGCATTCACGCTTAAGCACAAATCAGACCTTTATTAATTTTCGTGTTTTTAATGATTTTTTGCCTAACATAAGTTACATCCCACAAACTCAAAACCCATTTTCAGACATGCAACATTGTAGATTGAGGATATCGGGAAAACTGTCCATAACAAATTTCAAGTTGGTAGTGCTTTACTTTCTTGATGCCTCACTACGGGTGACATAAGCACTATTTCCGACATGCAATATTAAGTTTGCTGCAAAAATCAAACGGTAGGAATCATTCTTAAGGGAACCACAGGGACAAAACCTATTAAGGCTCAGTGAAGACCACGGAAACGTAGCTCCATTTAGATGAGATAGCGGCCTCGAGTTACGATTGGCCAGCGCGTTCTTCCTTCATCATGTCCGGAATGCAAAGACCACCCCACCACGCAACATTTGTGCAAATCAAGAATTCAAATTGCAGCCACCTGCGGCGGATCGCACGCCAAGAGTACGACCAGCCGCCTTCCCATTGGCCACGACAGACGCGCGCTTCGATCGATAATCTGGCAATGGCGTGCACGCGCGCATGCATACGCGCACGCACACACAAAATGAGGCGCGGTGCGCGCGTGTGCGCCCTCTTTGTACAAGCTGCGTGTTAGGCCGCGTCAAGTGAACACGCGCACCCCAAATCGGAGCATTCATGATCATTGCAGCCAGGACTATCGACGCCAACAAAAATTAATAAAAGTTAAAACCTTACGGGAATAAAATTTTCCCATGGCACTACGCATATTGGACATCAAGTCTGCAATATAATTTCACCACAGAAATTGGCGATAATAAATCCCTTAAAATGTTAGGAAAGTTTGATTCCGAAGAGGTGCTCAGAAAAGAAACGACTTCACGATATCTTATAAGACCTGGTCTCTTGGTAGAGGGAAGTTAGCGCGAAAAGTACGATGGACATGTTATCTTGACGAACGATTAGTTTGGTGGACGGAATGTGCCAGCCTTTTCGACCAGTAGGAAAGACGAGCGAGTTCTTTCATCGTCGATTGAACGGATGGTTCCACCATAATTTGAGGCTTGTCTAGATTGTAAAACTAGCATGTCTCTAGGGAATCAGAATGTCACTGGAAGAGGTGCAAATCCAGATCCAGTGGTTGATTAGCTCCGTTAATGCTGCCTTTGGAGGGCTCCATGTGTCCGCGACAACCAACCACTAAAGCCATATAATAACTAGCCAGGTTTTAAGAAGCTGCAGTGGTTTGTTGACACCCAAGCCGGTGAATCATCCCTTCTCTATCTTGCAATTGTGGACACGCGTGGTATTTAGGCGTGTGCCCTTACAATGAAAGTTCCGGAATGCTATCTTAGTCATTAAAAGGAGAGTTGGAAGTCTTAGACAACGTTTCGGCAATATATGACCGCGACACGAACGTCTAGCTTAAGATGGCAGTTCCACAATCCGGTAGCTGCGTGCACAATCAGATCACCGGCTGTGTGGACAGTTGAACGCCTGGTTACAGGCTGCATCAGCGCAACTATCGCGTGCACTGGCCGATAACCAGTACACTTTGTGGGTGATTTGGCCGTGGTCGGGTAAAAACGAACAAACGTGGGCACACGTTTTGTTCCAAACGAAACCGCAAACGCTTGTTTCCGTTATTTTAAGCACTCGGAGTCCCCCCCCCCTGATTACTTATCATGTGCGGAAGTCTCATTAGCATGCCTTGAGGTAATCACCACAATGTTAATCGCACTAATACGCAAAAACGTCAGTTTTCGAGGCTGTTAACGTATAGATCCACGACTGTAGCGAGCTATAATCACCAGGCAACAGAGCCAAACCGATGTAAGGCTCTGGTTTGCACTGGCACGTTAAAAACGGATTCAAGGGTGAGGCATCGTTTGCCTCCAAACGCCAGCTGTAAATTGCTAAACCCTTTAAATCAAAACGACGACAAGACCACACGATCAGGGGAACACGTCCGCCCGGTGGCAATACGGTGGGCGTGGCTTGGCAACCCGCGCAAGGAACAGTTTGGCGTGTTCACACTGAAGCCAATACAAGTGCTGACCATCTGCACGTGCTGACACGTTAACAGACGTTCATTCCTTTCCTATTTTCAAAGTTAAGCCCTTAAGAATGACAGCTGAAGCGACAGCCAGCGTGGAACACACTCCACCGTGTATTAACAGCAGCAAGTGTACGTCGGAACGGCCCAATCTAGCTTTTGAAAAGCTTACTTTCGAGATACTGGGTCGAAGTCCAGAACTCGACTACTTGTCACAAACTCCACACAAATTTTGGATCTGTTTTCTGAGTCTTGCAGCACACGACACTCAATTGACTTTACTAGGGGGTAATGACCAGGTACAGGCCACCACTTCCGTTGGCACGGACTTGTGACCAACATGTTTAACTTGCTTTGACCGAAAGGCTGGCAGAGCGGAAAGAAGTGTATTTGGAATACCGGAAATACAACAACAACAACGGCGACAGCAGCAACGAAGCCTAGAATCATCACCAGAGCGGAAAACCGAAAACAGGAAATAACTCGATGACGCAGTCAGGGTCGAAAATCTGCTAGAAGACGAACAAGAAAAGCGGGTGGAATATATAGCCTGGAATGAGAGAGAAAAAGGTGTCCCAATTCAATGCAAAAGCAACACAATTGCAAGCAAGCATTACTATTACTAATGCGAAGTTAGGAGAAGAGAGGGGGATCAGAAATTACGACACATTCGAAATAGGGCTATAAGAGAGAGAGCAGAAGAAAGGCATCGGAGCAGGCTCTACTTCTGGAAGAGTTGTTGCGTGAAGCCCACGTAGTCGTAGGCATCTTGGACGGGCTGACCACTCTTCGTGTAGTAGGGAGGCATCGTTTGGGCACAGTAGTCCGCCTGCTCCTTCGAAAGGTTCTAGAAGGCGGCAAGAGCGGTGTGTTAGAGATTACGCGGTGAACTGGTGAACGTCAAAAATCACTTGCTAACCCACCCCCGATAGACACCTGAACTAACGTATGCCAACATAGCTAGAAATGCGTCATCACTAACCGCGTAGAGTTCCTCCTTCGTGATGTACTCCTTCGTTCCGTCCTTGGTGAGTGAACGGAACGCCTCCTCGACCTCGTCCCTCGACTGTACATTCTCCGTCTCCCGGCTAATCATGAAGGCCATAAACTCCTGCAGCGTGATGTAGCCGTCGCGGTTGGGGTCGACGACAGCAAGGATGGCCTCGAACTCGGGATCGGCTTGGTTCTCCTCCACCAGTTGGAGGTCGTGGCCGAGGGCACGCAGACACGACTTGAACTCGCGGTGGTCGAGGCGGCCCGACTTGTCCTTGTCGAAGTGCTTGAACATCATGGAGAACTCGCGAAGCGCCTCCTCGCTGACGCCGGAGACGTTGCGAGCCTGGATCTGCTGCTCCAGATTGTGCTGCATTCGCATCACCAACTGATCCAGCTGATCCCAGGCCTGACTTAGGCCAACCTAAATCACACGGATTGTAGATGCTAATCACCAATTTCGATTATTAACACCAGGCAGCGTTCAACTGGTTTTCAGCTTGGTTTTGAGGCAAACAACCAGCTTCTATATTAGGGGCAACATTAGCATAAAAATGTCCGGCAACTCAGTTTGTTTTCTTAAATGGGTGATGGCTGCTAATGACGACGGAGGCGGCAAAATGTGCTGTAAAATATCCCATGCCGAATATCAAATATCGAGATAGCCAAATCGAGGTTATGGTCGGTGTGGAACGCCGTGTAACAATGCGATAGATTGCTGAGAGGTTAAATTTACCACACACACACGACAATGGAGAATTACTTGAGATGTCGTCGACTCACTAAGAACCTCGACAATTTGATCCCAAGGAACAGAATTGCCAACTATTCAAGAAATGGAATCGCCCCCTTCTTGAACTTCAACACTGATGGTAAAAAATGACCATCTACAGTCGCATTAGTCAAAGACGACCATGTTCTAGGTGTGAGGAACCAGCAAAAGCCCCGTCGACTTTGATCTGGTGCCAAGAAATCAAACAAGAAAATTTAGACGTTCATGGGAATAGCGTACAACCTGGACAATGCAGACACAAGTTTGATATAGCGTGGATCATTTATTAATGAAAATTTACACCCAGTCGGATTGCATTACTTGCAATTGGTGTCGCATTCCAGACAAAGATTTTTTTAAATGAAAGAATCCATTTCCGCAAGTGAAGCAAGTTATTAAAAACCAACCGAAAAAAATTAAACCTCGTAGGAAGACTAGGTCAACAGAGCTGATGCAAATCCACCAACCGCAGCACAACATCACGATCGCGACGTGCGATCCGACACGAGTCACGGATTAACAGGTCATCGGAGCTCAGCTTAGTAATAAGGCGCGTTTGTGAGTGAAATCCGTGTTAATTAGCTACCCTCTGCCACTGCGGCGAAAACACGAGCACAAACCGCTCGTGTTTATGAAAAAACGCACGCACGCACGCACGCACACAAACACATGTGCATGATTAACACAAGTCGCGCAGAATGCACAAACACGCATCGACGTTTATAAAAAAAGGGTTCATGCATAAAGCATTTAAGGGAGGCTCAGTGCGTAAACACTCTGACGGTTAGCTAAGTCTGCGTTAGCGCTAGGGAGGAAAGTGGGGGTGAACGTACGGTGCTGTGTTCGGTGTAGCGGTTGTCGAGGATGAGGCGTTCCTCCAGACGAGCACCCAGATCCTCGATTTGCTTGAGTTCGACCTTGCGAGCTCGTATCTCCACGGACTTGGCACGGGTGGCTTCTAGTTGCTCTTCCAGAGTGCCGGAGCTCTCCATCAGCGAGTTTCGAACAGACTAGGGACACAAACAGGGGGGAGGAAGAGTTAGACGAAGTGAGTGTGCATGTGAGCGAGGGGTAGGTCCCTGAAGGAATGAACCTACCTGCAGCCAGGCATGGAAGGTGTTGGCGACCGAGGCGAACTCCTGACGCAGCTGATCGTTCTGCTCCTGGCGAGCAAGTTCTCGTCTAAGCTCGTCATCACGTTCCTGGATGATCTTCTGAAGGTTACGCCACGTGTCTTCCAGCGCCTCCATGGTGAACCACGTGTAGGGATTAGCTCCAACCTGAAGTACGAGCCAAGGTGGTGAACCACGGATCACTTTAAGTAGATCTTATCGGCTTGCAAATTAATGCGTTTATTGACCCCGGAAAAATGCACGCTAGTCACGAAGTGAAATTCAAAAACTTCATCGCGGTGTGGGCAGGAACAGGGCAGGCAGAAGCTGCTCCATGCGAAATTAGGGTGGCTGGCATTCAACGAAGGGCTTCTGTTCACACAACCAGCTGTGCCAATAATGCAGAAAGTTCTGCACCAACCCCGCATCCACATTCCTTACATCGTTGCACCTGCAGTCACAGTTTGCGTAATCAAGGCCTGACAGAAATGCTCCCATTTGCAGTAAATTTCCCTGTGCCAGAAATTCCGTCAATAACAAAATTGAACAATTCAAATTCACTGAATAAGCAATAACACCGATTTAAACTTGCTCTTCTACTTTTGCAGTTTAAATGGCTATTTATTTTACGGTCAGGTCACTGAATCATGTTCTCGCGTGACTTTCAACAGAAGCACTTTTTGCAAGTCACTCTAAAGGGTGACTAGGGGTAAAACCACACGACGTGATTGGTTGATTGATTTGGGGTAACACTGACAGGCCTACACCAGCCAACCACTCAAGGATTCTTACGCCATATTCCTTGATCTCCTGATCCAACTGTCGGAGACGCTGGAAGTCAGTCTCCGCGGGCTTCAGAGAGGCCTTGAATTGTTCCTGGGCCTCGACAAGCGCGCGAATCTCGTCCAGGGAGTTGCACCGCACCGGGTCGGTGAGGTCTTCTTCGGCGTTCTCGAACCACGAGTTGAACGTGGACGCGCGTTTCGCGAAGTCCAAGTAGAGCTCCTCCACCTTCTTGTACTGGTTCTGCAGCTGCAGCAGCTCGTTCTTACGACGCTCCGACTCGCTCTTCAGGCGCTCCCACCGACCGATTAGAGAATCAAACCTGAAATTAGGTCATGGCTTAGAATGTACGTGCGTGCCGACAACCCGAATGCCGAGATTAGCTGGAAGCTTAATTTATTCCGAGATAAAGTGCGTTTCGGGTAAGGTCGACTTGCACAACGCCCTAATCTCAAATAATCCACATAAATTCAACACCACTGAGAATCCAGGTAGGTCTTTTTTGAAAATAACTAGTAACAATGGTCAAGTACGATCTAAATCCTGGTAAAATTGGGTAGGTACCTTTGTTGAATAACTGGTGACTGGGCGTGCTTCGACTGGATGAGTTGGTCGTGCAAGTTAGTGATAGTCTGGATGCCCTCGGTGCGGAATGACTCGAGCGCAGTGTCGAAGGTCTCGTGTTTGGTCAGGAGGGTCTGAACGGAGCTCAAGTCGCGCCCGTAGTCCTCCGAGCGAACCTGCACTTCGCGATCGGCAATCCACAGCTCCACCACATCGGTCTTCCACATGAACTGGAGGAAGGCGTAGTTGTCGCAGAGGAGGGCCTTTCGACGCTCGGCGTTGCGCATCAGCACGTCGAGTTTTTCCCGTAGACCCTCACACTTCTGCTCGATTGCCGGTTTGTTGTGGTTACCGCGCTCTATCAGACCGGCGCCCGCCTGGCAGATTTCCGCACACTTGTCGTGGTGAACCTGCGCAAAAAAGATCGAAGTAGTGCAGAGTTGTGTGGACATGACGCTAGGAAATAACCCGGCACTGTAGATGCAATGCACACCTTTAGATCGGCCTCAAAGCCGTCGTGTTGCTTGAGAAGGCCCTGAACGGCAGCCAAGGAATCACCGTGGTCGCCAGAGGAAAGGAGGTGTTGTTTCTCGAGTATCCACGCGGTCTCTTCCTCCACAGCATCCAGGAAGTCCTGATAGTCTGACGACTCATCCAGTTTGCGGTGGCGGTTAGCTGCTAGGGTCTGCAACTCCTCCCAAGCTTGGTTCAGATGCTGCACCACAAAGAAAAAGCAATATTTGAGAGAACGACATGGCACAGATGTCCTGAGGCATTCAACTTCTATCGAAGCATTGACTTAAAACACACTATTGACACACACACGCACACCTCTGCCACGAGCAGTAAGGTTTCGACCCATTTCTAAGGCATTTTCAACTAGCAAAACAATCGAGACTAGTTAATTAATGGCGAAACAAAGTACCACCCTATGGCAAAAGCACACATTCTGATAACGGGCGCCAATCAAAAACAACACAACGAAGTGGGTTCGCTCCAGACTTCTAGCACTTGGAGATAAGCCATTGACACTTATGACGTAGCTGGTAGCTAAAGCGCAGGTTGGATGGGAATTGTTTAGCATGTGTACAAGGTGGTGAGGCGTAACTTACGTCAATCCGCTTTTGGATTTCGGCAGGATCAACGAGCTCCGTATTGCACATGAGATCCTGACCCTGTTGGGCGACTTGGTGCACCGCAGCCTCGTGAGCGGCAATTTCAGTCTCAAGTCTCTTATGCTTCTTCCTGAGGTTCCGCACGCTGATCAGATCGCGTCCGTAATCCTCGGAGCTAACCAGAATTTTCTTCTCTCGAATCCACGCCTCTTCGTCATCCAGGTTACGGTAGAAATCGTGCAAACACTTGGCCTTGCCCAGAGTAATAGCCCGGTTCTCGGAGAGGGCGCGAATCTTCTCGTAGCGCTCGTTAATTGCCCGTTTGCGTTCCTTAATTGTGTCGGCATCGATGGCGCCGGCAGCGTAAAGTTCGTCGGCGCGGGCGTTCAACTCGGAGATGCGGTCTTCGTGAGCCTGGATGTCGGTGGTGAGCACCTGGTGCTTGGAGAGCAGGCTGTCTACCGAGGCCGAATCCTTGCCGTAGTCTGGACTAGCGAGGGAGGCCTCAACTTCACCCAGCCAGAATTCAATGTCCTTAACGCCTGCGTTGTAGGCAGCCTGGCGGTTAGCCTCCTGGAGTTTCACGGACTTCTCCTCCGAGCGTCGAATGAGGTCATCCCATTGGTCGGCGAGCTTAGCCAATCGCTCCTCAACGGCATTTTCTTGGCCCTTACACTGACCTGAACAAGTGAAACGGATGAAATTAGCCAAAGACAACTAAGTAATAACCTCAAATGCGAGACATGCAACAACAATGGGGTTAGTGGTTGCGCGCCAGGGCCATGCACAAATCCGCCAACACAAACCTTTTTCAATGAGGCGATGACCAGCGCCCAGGATAGCCTGTAGACGCTCAGCATTGGCAGCCAATTCAGCTTGGAATGCTTGGTGTTTCTGGTGCTTGGCTTGAACATTGATTGTGGGATCTTTGTAGGACTCGTCAGTGGTGGCCTGCAACTTCTCGTTGATCCAAATCTCCATTTCGTCGGCATCGCGGAGGAAGGCCTGCAGCGTCTGGACGTCGCCAAGACGACTCCTGTTCTCAATCATGTCCTGCTTGAGCTTCGCCCACCGACCGAGGACTTCGGCGCGCTTCGCCTCAATGCCATCGGCGTCGTAGTGGCCCTCGGCGAGAAGCGCGTTAGCAGAGGCGTCAAGGGCCTGGATCTTGGCCTCCTGTGCGTTGATTGCACGATTGAAGTTCTCGTGCTTTTTAATTAGGGCGTCCACCTTGTCGACGTCGTCCCCGCTGGTGCCCACAAGGGAGGACTCACGCATGCTCATCCAGTCCTCGGCTTGTTCACAATCGCGGAGGAATTGCTGCTGCTTCAGGTTCTGGTCCAAGGCCTTCTCCCGATCCTGCCAGGCTCTAAACGCCAAGGAGACACAAAATGAGGCCCAAGTCCCCACAGATTCTCTCGTGAGTCTAAATCTTGTTCCACATCCCCGACACCTAGCCACCAACGGCGGGTCCAGACGCAACTCCATTCAATCAGGAACTCGCCCCATGAGACTACAATCTTATCAATCGATCCTTAGGTCGCATTCGCAGCTCGACAGTGGCAAGCAGTAAACAATGGACTCATTGGTAACGTCGTCGTGGACATTTGAATCTCTACGCGAAAGGCAACAGCCAAGACACTAATAATAACATTTGCCTGGGGACTAAAGACAAACACCAACACTACAACTTCGCACGTTTTAAGCGATTCTTACTTGAGAAGGTTGTCTCTGGCCACCCGGGTAGCTTCGATGCGCTCCTCAATTTCCGGACTAGCATAATGCTTGTTCTCCAACAGCTCGTGGCCGAAAGCGTCGAAGTTGTCGAAGGTACTGGCACGGGCATCGATTTCTGCACGATGTTCCTGTAACACAGACGACTAGGTAAGTACAAAGGCTAGCAATGAGGAGAAACTACGAGGCGTGTGACATACCTGATGACGTTCGATTAGGGCCTCGGCACCAGTTACGTCGGTTGCAAGGTCATTTGAGGTGACGAGAGCATTCATTGTATTCATCCATGATTGAAGGTCGCTGCAATTTCGAACACAGGAAGTTTAGGAACTCCGTCAGGAATGGAAGTGTATCAAGATAAATTAAGGGTAAAACTAACCGTCCATCAGCAAGGAACTTTTGCAAATCCAGCGAGTCCAACAACTTGGCTTTACGAGCCTCGGCCTTGGCAGTGAGGTCGTTCCAGGCTTGGTTGATCTGCTCCTGGTGTTGGCAGATGCCTTCGGCCTCCTGAGGATGCGTCTGAGCCAGGTCGGCAGCCTTCACGTCGAGTTGCTTCACGCGGTCACCAAGGGCAACTAGATCACGCTCGAGGGCATCGTGCTTTCGGATGAGGCGCTGCACAGAAGTGAGGTCCTTGCCGACATCATCGGTGGCCAGTCGGAGGTCCTTTTCTTCAATCCATTCCTTGGCCTCATCGCAGTCACGGTGGTAGCGCTGCACCGCGTTGATGTCGTCCAAGTTCTTAACCTTCTTTGTAGTCACCTCCTCGAGCTGCTCGTAATTCTTCTGCAACTGCATTATGATACCCTCAATTTTCTCCACAGCCTCCGTCGGAGCACCGCGTTTGAGACCCTCTGCCTTATCACAGAGCTCCTGAACCCGCGCTTTGCGGTCCTTCTGTTCCGCCATCAAGTTATCCACACGCTTCCTCTCGCATTCCACTTCTTCCAGACCAACAGGAACGATGGTTTCGGTGAGGGCGAAGATTTCCTTTTCAACAACCCACTGGTGGAGATCGTTAGCCTCGCGGACAAGCTGGTAGGCCTGAACGGAACTCTGAAGTCGTTCACGGCGGTCGCGTCCGAGTTTGAGCAGATTGTTGTACTGCTCTTCAAGACGCCGCTGCTGTAGAGCAACAGTGAGGGGTTGATCAAGCAAGTGTGACTGGCTATCAGTGAATGGAGCGTCAATCTTTTTGAGGTATGCTGCGGGGACAAAGCCCTGGCGGTCATTGATCTCCACTTTCCACCAGTCCTTGCTAGAACTGTTTAGAAGGGTAAGAATTTCGCCTTTGCGCATGGAGACGTCACGAGGCGCCTTCTCCTGATAGTCGTAGAGGGCAACGACCAGTTCCTTGCCCATCAAATCGCCAACTGGGACTTCCTGCATATTGCACTCGGCCGCCTGCTTGCCCAAACTCTCAATAGTCGATCCGTACGCCTCGATATCGGCCATGAGGGCATCGTGCTTCTTGAGCAGAGCCTCAGTAGAGTCCTCGTCACGGCCGAGTTCCTTGGAATCAACCAACGGCTCCTTTTCGTGCATCCAACTTTCGGCTTCATTTGCATCCGCAAAGTACTGCTGGGCCTGCAGTGAGTCATCAAGGAGTTTGCGTCGGTTGTCCGACTTTTGACGCAGAGCCTCCCAAGCGGCATTAAGACCAGCGATGCGCGCTTTGATCTCGTCAGAAGCGAAGTGCCCCTGGTTGGCCATGTTCTCACCAGTTTGGCAAACATCTACGATGCGAGGCTCATGTCCTGCTATCTCAGCCATTACTGCCTGATGTTTTTTTATCAGATTCTGCACACCTATCAGGTCGCGGCCTACAAAACATGCAGAAGCACTTTGGAAATATGACAACACATAAGGTTTTTAATATTAATGCACGTAAAGTGAGGTCTGACATGCAATGTTAGGGCGTGTTTGCTACTGCAAAATGCCAACCAAGCTTTTTCGGTTGCCAGTGAAAGGTAGTAGTTGATATTCGATGCCTCTAAAAACGCACAAGACTATCTCTGAGCAGGCGTGGAACAGGCACCGGGTGCAGGTATGATAAATCTAGCGGCTAACTTAGCATAATCTGGACTCACCAACATTGCTAGAAGCGGCGACTGGTTCCTTCTCTCGGATCCAGTCCTCCTCATCTTCTACGTCGCGGTAAAACTGATGCAGCCTGTAGGCGTCATCCAAACGAGCCCGCTTATTCTTCAACGGCTCGGCAAGAGCATCGTAACGAGCCATCACCTGTTGCTGCTTCTGTTCCAGAATAGGCGCGTCATAGTGACCTTCTGCCTTGAACTTCTCTACTTGATCGCGGAAAGCACTAATACGATCACGGTGCGATTGCACATCTGACTCAAGGAGATTGTGTTTCTTCTGAATGTTGATCACGTTGTTCAAGTCCCTTCCATGGTCATCGGAAGCGAGCTGCGCCTCGACCTCGGACAGCCAAAGTTCAACGTCTTCAACGTTCCGAACGAACTGTTGTTGGTTATTAGCTTGCTCCAAGTTCTTGCCCTTCTTAGACATAGCGTCCAATAACTGAAGCCAAATCTCATCCAGTTCATTAATTCGTGCTTGTATATCGTCTGATTTGCAGTGGTGGGCGTCAATAAGATCAGTGCCCATTTTCTTCACCTCGTCCATGCGAGAGCGGTTGGCGTTGATCTCGGATTCAAAGTTGTGGTGCTTCTGGACCTTTGTCTGCAAATTGGTGGGATCCTTGTAGTTCTCGTCAGTGGCAGTTTTAAGTTTCTCCACAATCCAAGCCTTCATCTCATCAGCGTCGCGGTCAAACATTTGGTAGCGGTGGGAGTCGACGAGCTGCTGGTGACGCAGAGCCGCCTTTTCCTGGAGCGCAGTTCTGCGGCGAAGGAGGGACTCGCGACGATCTGCAACTTCAGGCGAGGCATAGTGATTACTAGCAATCAACTTATCGGCAAACGCCTCCAAATTCTTGATTTTTTCCTCCTGAGCCGTGAGAGACTTTTCAAAGTCCTCCTGCTTGCGCATTAGGGCCTCTGCAGCGTCAAGGGAGTCTCCAACGTCCTTGTTCTCAAGAAAGGCCTCCTGCTTGGCAATCCATGCTTCAGCCTGTTCAGCATCACGGAAGAAGAGCATCAAATCCATACATTGCTCAAATTGAACGCGTCTGGACTCCCAGAGTTCGAGAAGGGAGTCACGCTCCTTTTGGAGGGTGTTCATTTTCTGAACAACATCGGCGCTCGTTGGATGACCCATATCAACAAGGCGCTGGCCCTCTTCCATGCAGGACTTATAGGCGTCTTCACGCGACTCAATTTCACCCTTGTGTTCATTGTGGCGTTCAACCTGAGCTTCGGCACCAGCGACGTCTTTGGCCAGCTCGTCGGCCGAAATAATAGCCTTCGTGTCAGCAATCCACAAAGTTAAATCTCGCCAATCCGCTAGGAAACGGTGAAGCAAGAAGGATTCCTCTAGTTTTGCGCGCCTATCACAAGCTTGGGCCTTGAGGTTTTGCCAGGCGGTATTAAGAGTGTTGCGTTTTTCCTGGATGGTGTCTTTAGAGTCAGGATGCTTTTCAGATAGCGCGTCAGCATCAACACCAAGCTGCGACACCTTTTCCTCAAGAGTGGTCAAATCGCGCTCAAGGGCATCGTGTTTGCGCTGCAGCGCCTGAACAGATACGAGATCACGACCACAGTCATCGATCGAAAGTGGGATGGATTTCTCGTTCAACCATGAAATGGCCTTATCGGTTTCACGGAAGAAACGCTGGATTTCGTGAGCTTCGTAGAGCTTATTCTGGCGTTTGCGTGCGAGGTCCTTAAGACGCTCAAGGGCCTCACGAACTTCAGTTTTTTTCTCCATAACCACCGCCTCCTCAGGGAACTCCTCTTTTAACAATTCATCGGCTTTCGCATAGATTTCCACTGCCCGACCTTCTTGGTACTCCAGATCCTACAGGAAACCGAATGTTAAACCAAAGCAAAGAGGAAGAAATTTGCGAAATTTGAACTTAGCATACCTTCATGAACTCATCATATTTCTTCTGTAGGGCCTCAACATGTTCCAAATCTTGACCGAACTCTTCTGACGTCACAAATGTTTCCTTTTCTCGGATCCAGAAGAGAATTTCATCAACCCGACGAAGGTATTGAACGTATTCAAGAGTTAAGTTAAGAAGCCGTGACTTCTGTTTAAACATGGCCATGAGTTTTTCCCAAAGTGCATGCAGTTCATCCAAAATACCCTACGGATAAGAGTGATGTTCAAAAAAGGAAACCTAAACATACTCGGATGATTTCCGATGCATAGTGTTGCTGCGAAATCATTTCCTCACCACTGGCATCAAGTGCATTGAGAGTTTCCAAATGAGCACAGACTTCTAACTCAAGGGCCTGATGTTTCTGCTTTTTACTCTAAAGTAAATAATAGTAGTAATATACAGCGTCACATACTTGAAGGTTGGTAAGATCCTTAAAGTCCTCATTGCTATATGTTTGTAACTTTTCCTGGATCCAGTTCTCAAGCTCGTCGGCATCCCGCTTAAAATACTGATACCTTTTGGCGTCTTCTAAACGGCGTCGACGCTCGTCCGTTGCCTCCTTGAAAGCAGCGTACCTATCGAGAACCTGGTTCCTTCTGTTGCTGACATCTTCAGGGGTTTCTAGGATAGAAGGTTCCTTAAACATAGTGGCTTCAGGCTGGACAACAGGGGTTTCACCCAAAAGTCTTTCTTGCTGGTCTTCCATATTACTACAAATTGATCAACAGGTTTACGATCAAACTAAAAAATACTTTTGAAACACGAAGATTCAAACGTAAAATAAGGTGCAATGAATGATGGAGGAGCTAATTTGTGTAAAACAGAGAAGAGGTGATTTTACAGATATCTAAGTAATGATAAAACGGAAGAATTGGTCAGATTGTTCAACCACGTCCGCAACATTGAAATATCTTGGTCAAAGAAATGACACAATTCCTTAAGATCAATCATTTTTTAAACAGTGGTTAGGTTTTGGATTTACTCCAACGTCTTTTACCAGCAGCCTAGTGGCAGGAGACATATGCTGCAGGATCGATGGCGGCAAGGGTGCAGAGGATCTGCTATGGCAGCACCAAGAGCAATCACAACCGGAACGCCAATAAGCGCAAGTGCAGCAGGCAGCGAATTACTCTTTGTATTTGTTTAAAAGGAATCTATGATAGTTTATGAAGCAATATTTACACAAGGAAAGAGGTTATGTATCAAAAATCGAAATAACGACAATGTTATCAAAGGTAACGCAATTTTCAAATCGTTAAAAAACATGGGAGCCACCAACTTGACTTACGCAAGCAAACCGTAGCTGAAAGAATACCGAAACAGTGTGTCCCTCAACTTTGATAAGCTAAAACAAATGGGTGTTTCATTAACTTAAATGCAACACAAAAATAGTTTTTACTAGCAAAAAACATTTTCAAATGCTCTAAAATTGCAAATAAAGTATTTTTAATGCTGATAAATGGCATTTGTAGGTGTTTTTGAGAAATGTTTATTGAACTCGGTTTTGGATTTTCGTAACTAAATTGTTTTGTCTGGAATAATAACATGTCTGTTTTGCGATTTTATGTTTTACCAACTAGTAATAGTCAACAAAACGGGCATATTTTAAATGTCACACAATAATATGCGTTGCAATTTATATTAAAAGCATCGACAGGATGTTCAACTACATCAACACGACGTGTTAAGTTCACAAACGTCAATCTTCGTCTACTCGCGTTTCCTTACATAAATTTCATTCAATTAACAAGAGCGGTTGGTAAATAAACACAAAGTCGGCTATAATAACCGAGAAAGTTATGTAATAAATCGCAGGTGGTTTTTTTCACCAAAACCAGACAATAGTGTTACTTGAGAAGAATTAATCTGTGGGAACTATTCCATGGCAGCTCTCTTGCGACTGAAGAACAGAAAATAGCATGAAACAATTTAACTGATATTTCATGCATGATAATAAGTCAAAGTGCTGCATAATGTTGTTCAAAGCGTAGTTAGTTGCATGATCCTTCTAAACATAGGCTGATCTCGAATTCACACTTTGAATTTCATTTTAAACATTTAAGTCTTAAATTTCAGTCATTTATGTGGCTGTCTGAATCTAATATTAAAAGCAACGTATTTATCCTGTTCAATTTAAGACTATGTTAATTATTGCCGCAACATACACTGCATACAGTGCATTATCCTGCTAGTTAGACACTGAGCACTGCTTGTCACTAAACGTTGCGCACGTAACTTACAAAGCCAACTGGATATGGGAGTCTGTTATCGAAGCTGAGGCGGCCGCTTTGATTGCGATGGCTATCTCGAATACCAAAGTTGGTATTACTAAGTAAGTTACATTTTTGTGGCAAGCGTTGCCATTTGACGTTTCCATATTGTACATCAGAGCCTTAAACCAATGTCTTACCCTTTATTCCTTAACCCATCCTCACGCGTTACTTTCCTGCAGCAGATCATCAATTCCATATCCACATCTCCAATTTTAATCCATTAGTGGACAGACTAGGCCAGGCACCCGGTACGCCAAAGTTGTCTTAATATTCCCCTACCAGGACAATAAATTTTCTAAGAATTAACCCGGACACAAAATATGTCTAACTCTATACTAAGAAATGCAGTTTATTCTTTTCAGCCACTCAAACCCCGTTCAGAAGTACCACAATCTTCTAATCATTCAACGAACTATGACCGAATCTGCATACGAAGGCACTAAAAGGGGTACTCTTAGTGACAGGAGGCAGCAACGTACTCTGATGTGGCCTGTTTATTGTCCTTATCTACTTTCTCACCATCCAGCTTTTCTCAATGCACTTGTTGTGTATCGTATTTATTCACACCCCATAATCCGGTCGCTCCATCCTCCGACACAAGGTTCCCCTTTTTGCAGCATGTCGCCAGCCACGCAGATTCCTCAACTCCCCTCTCATTTGCATGAATATTTATCTTGGATTATCCTCACACATGGGTCTCGATGTTAGCGTATGTATGGCTCACACATCCGGGGTATAAATACACACGCACAAATCCCACACACGACACAACGACACCAACGTGTTTGAGCTCTGGATTAAACGGTCGTGTCCACGTCCTCTCCGATCGTTTTCTTCATCGTGGGTATTAGGTAAGCGTAATCGGGTCAGGGTTAATTTTCATGGCCGCGGCGTGGTTCAAGACCACATGCTGGGGCCCACAACACACTCCCATGGATCTGAGGGCAACTCTGACCATCCATCTAAGCCGCAGCTTCTCGTCATTTGTAAACCATAGCGTAGAATAACCTGGTCCTTTTTATTGTCTTCCATCGCATGCCAGGTAGTCAACCCTGACGGCGTAGCTATCTCCGGAAGATAGACTGATAGCAAACTACCCATTTAGGTCCCCGTTCGGTAGTTATTAACTGTGATATGATATTCTGGATCTCTGTTGCCTGCTTGATTAAATCAAGTTGGTAGAATTGACGAAGTCCCTTTCGTTAACGTACTTTGCAAAATCATCTACACCCATTAATGTTTTTGCTCTAACACATCATACACGTCCTAAAAGTCGCAAAAAACACGCGTTTTCAGTTTAAGTGAGACCGATCAAGTTAGACAATTGCTAACATACCTGTTTTCCTTTTGGAATAAAAGTGTTAATAAGCCATACTTATACGAGGAAGTAAATAGTGAGCATTGCGGTTGTTATTTAACACAAAGATCCATCCTTTTTACAAAATTTAAATATAATTAGGCCAAACCAAGTAGAGGTCATGAGATCAGATCAACATTTCTGTATCTTACATTGCAAGGTAATGGCTTAAATTAAAATATTTTGTTGCTGAATCACGGTGAGCTTATTTTGAATCGCACAGGTGTGCTGTATTTGAAAGAAAAACTGTTGCTACCGAATCACGTGGCGTCTAATGCCTTAGGCTGATATTCAGCGACTTGCGCAAAGACGTCGGTGTCTAGTTTGCAGCCATACAGTCGGTGCAAACAATAGAACGGCTGAGGTGTTAGTGTGCCACAAGCAAATGCTGTGCTTCTTTTTCTATGCTATCGGAAAACCAATTTTTATAATCCAAGCAAACAACATAATGACGGTACAGCATCGTTTAGCGGTGGCAAATTTACTTTCTTGAACGTATTATTATTAAAATAACTTCAATTTATATTGAAGATGAACAAAATTGCCAGTGATAGGTGTCGGCAACAGCGGTAACTGCTGTTTCCCTGCTGGATAGTGGTGAACGTTCATCGAGTCAAGGTTGACAGATGAGGAGCGTTGGGCATCTGCTTGACAAATGTCCTCTGACTCGACAATGATTGATTCGGTTTCCAAAGCCATTCGGACTAGAATCAATTGCAGACTATTGGTTAACTAAACGAATATCAATGCATGAGACGTAGACCTCAAGTACATCCCTCAAATCCCCTAACACGTATCATGAGTTGGTACACAGCACTCGTTTTATTTCACGAGACATTTGTTGTCACCCTGCAAACGCAAGTACCTCATTCCGAATCTGCATGAATTTAGTCATATCTCACAATCCCCAATGCTCACTTTGATTACTTAAAAGTTGGTATACAAAAAGGTATGTTTTAAATGTGTTTGATACGTTAATTAAATGACAAACTGAAATACCATGTTGGCAAAGCTGCCCAACCACAAAACATCAGAAGGCCATCTAAATTTAATAGGAATTAAAATTTCGTGCAACTGGTCGAGACACATTAGAATTAAATGATAATGTTCACAGTCACCGGGCTTCTCCACATGTTAAGCGCAAGTTGTGTACAGAAAAGAGGAGGAAGAAGAAGGTGTCGGACGACGAGGAGATGAAGGAAGATGAGAAGGCGGAAGGTGGGGATGCTGAAGCGGCGGAGGAGGAGGAGGCGAAGAAGAAGAAGGGTGATGAGCAGCCTGACGTGGAGGATCTGGACGAGGATGAGTCGGATGAGGAGGGCGAGGGCGCAGATAAGGAGAAGAAGAAAAAGGGGAAGAACAAGAAGAAGAAGCAGATCAAGGAGAAGTACATAGATGAAGAGGAGCTGAATAAGACGAAGCCGTTGTGGACGCGCAATCCGGATGACATAAGCCAGGAGGAGTATGGCGAATTTTACAAGTCGCTGAGCAATGACTGGGAGGACCATTTGGCAGTGAAGCACTTCTCGGTTGAGGGTCAGTTGGAGTTCCGTGCCCTTCTGTTTGTGCCGAAACGGGCTCCCTTCGATTTGTTTGAGAATAGGAAGAAGCGCAACAACATTAAGCTCTACGTGAGACGTGTGTTCATAATGGATAATTGCGAGGACTTGATACCGGAGTACCTGAATTTCATTCGTGGTGTGGTGGACTCGGAGGACCTGCCGTTGAATATTAGCAGAGAGATGCTGCAGCAGAACAAGATATTGAAGGTGATTCGCAAGAACTTGGTGAAGAAGTGTTTGGAGTTGTTTGACGAGTTGGCTGAGGATCCAGAGACGTACAAGAAGTTCTACGAGCAGTTCTCGAAGAACATAAAGCTGGGTATCCACGAGGACAGCACAAACCGGAAGAAGTTGGCGGAGTTCCTTCGGTACCACTCGTCGCAGAGTGGTGAGGAGATGACGAGTCTGAAGGACTACGTGTCGAGGATGAAGGAGAATCAGAAGGACATTTACTACATTACGGGTGAGAGCAAGGAGGCCGTGGCGAACTCGGCCTTCACGGAAGTGCTGAAGAAGCGTGGCCTTGAGGTGCTGTACATGTTGGACCCGATAGATGAGTACGCGGTGACTCAGCTTCGTGAGTACGATGGTAAGAAGTTGGTGTGCGTGACGAAGGAGGGCCTGGAGCTGCCTGAAGACGAGGAGGAGAAGAAGCGGTTTGAGGAATTGAAGGCGTCCTTCGAGCCGACGTGCAACAAGATAAAAGACATCCTGGGTAATAAGGTGGAGAAGGTGACAGTGTCGAACCGCTTGACTGCGTCACCGTGTTGCATAGTTACGTCGACATTCGGTTGGTCGGCGAACATGGAGCGCATAATGAAGGCGCAGGCGCTGCGCGACTCGAGTACAATGGACAGCAGAAAG